ATTATTTATGCACATTTATGTGATAAAAATACAAACACTCGGGCAAAATGGGGACACACCCTTCTACTGTGGTTGCCTCTGATGAGTGAGTGAGGACCAAAAAGAAGAGAGAGGGGTGGGCTTCAACTGTATCTGGAATGTTTTACTTGTTAAAGAGTGTTATGGCAAAATATCACGATTGGTAATACCTGGATTGTGGGTATGAAAGGGTTTGCTAAAATTCCCAGATTCTAGTTTTTGTAGGGAGATCAGACCTCGCCGTGCTCTGGCCCCCGGTCAGATGCAGAATCTCTCACGCAAAACCCGCCCCATCCAGTGATTCGGGTCATATTACCTGTGACCAGCTGCTTACTGTGGACCTATTGTCGACTTCCCTTCTCCAGTTCCGCCTGCGTGTCATGACATCATCATCCATTCTGAACTACTAATACGTAATGTCATCATGCCTAGCAGACACACACTTGCCACCAGGCTCCACTTCCCCACAGCCAGTGAGGCCAGGCCTGACCTCCACCTCCAACCCCTCCACCACCTGAGGCTGGCTCTGTGTCCTTCGTGCACGGCCACTCCCCCAGCTATCAATTGGAACTTCCCGTATCCCGAGCCATTACTGGCACTGAGTTTTTAGTTACAGAACTGATTCTTTCTCGCTCATATTTCTAGATTTCCTCAACATCCGACATCAGGTCATAACGACACACATTCTTCTCACCTACTTTCTAGTTTTGACTGTACATTCACCCACAGTTGATATTTATCATCAGTTGGAAATTTAAACTATAAGCTGTTTTGTTTTGTTTTGACCTAAATGAGCAGTTTTGACCTACGTTTGATATTTTGGCTACTCCACTCTTCCTTTTGTTCCCAAAGAACGAAAGTACAGCCCCATGTATTTTTCTAGATCTGTGTTTTCATGAATCTGAGCTAAGCTCAGAAGGACAGAGTGTATATTGGATTGGCACTGTTGCAAAGGTGAACGGGCAATTCAAAGAAAGACTTCTGGCAGAACGCATTTTGGAATGAATGAAAGAGTTTCAGCATGTTAGAGTTAAAATCATTTCAAGAGAAAGACATTCCTGACATTATGGTTAAAATCAGTGGAAAACATGATCTGATATAAATACACCTAATTTACAGCTTATTAGAAAATGTTTAGTAGAGATGAAGTTGTAATAATATTTAGAATTGAAAAAAACAGAAAGCAGTAAGACTTTTTTAGTTATGTAGTCTTAATAATGTACCTCTCAGAAAATTTGAAAATATTCACAAATTTATTCATGAATAAACTGAATTACCTCTTGTCTCAAAAGACGTTCTGCCTGATTTCTGGTAATATTTTTATGGTACCACCTGTAAAAGCAATAAAAAAATTTTTTTAATTTTATATTCCATTTCTTTCCAGAAAAAAAAAAGCCTGCTTTATTTCCTTCATTTTTAAGAACTCATTCCAGAACTGACTTTACAAAATGGAGTGATTTTTAATTCAGATACACAATAATATACTATTATGTGCCAATTAATTTAGTTTAATACAGTTTTATTAATTGCAAGCCATTATCCTGTTTATTCTATCATAGCTCAATTCAACTTTATGACACACGCTTAGTATATAATGTTGAATGATTTAACCTCCTGAAAATTTCCATGAAAAGTATGTGGTTAAGAAGTCATCATCTTCAATACACACTTCAATAACCACAGCTTTGGTTAAACAAACTAAAAAATACCCATTTCTTTCCTCTCAGGAACATCTTATTTGCACGCTTTGACATGTGCTATGTACCTTTCTGAAATTAAAGTCATGCTAACATCTTTGACTCTGCTAACTATGTTACCTTGCAGTAAAGTTAAAGGTTCAGTAGAGTAAATGGAACAACCAACATGTAAATAACCCTGCCCCACTCCATCTCAGGCCCCATCTGGTTCCTTGGTCTCCCCTTATCACTAAGTTTGGTCACACTGGAATTCTTTCCTCACTCAAATTCCAAGTCCTATTCTGCCTCCAGTCTTGCTGTTACTTCTGCATGACACCTGTCATTATTAGATAAACAAGATTATACTGTAAAGCACAGGGAAATATACACAAGATCTTATGGTAGCTCACAGAGAAAAAAATGTGACAATGAATATATATATGTTCATGTATAACTGAAAAATTGTGCTTTACACTGGAATTTGACACAACATTGTAAAATGATTATAAATCAATAAAAAATGTTAAAAAAAAAGAAATATGTCATTAAATGACTTTAGAACACTGGAGCTAGACACAATAATCATAATTAAGTAACACTGTAATTAAAGTATATGGCTTGATATGACAACACATCAGTAAGCAAATGTTGCACAGGAAAGACAGGAAATAGTAGAACAAAGGAGAGAGAAAGAAAAATGGAAGAGCTTTCATTTCAAAACAGGATTTTTAAAAGGAGTTAATCTAACATTACCAGAAATACTGTTTTCGTGGACAGCAGAAGGAAGAATGCGTATATAACCATGCATTAAGTCAGGTGGGTGGGCCAGATGATGGCTAAATGAAACTCATACCTGCCCTTGAGAATGGAACCTATCTTATCACGTGGACTTCCCCTCTCCATTCATAGCAGAAAGCTGCCACTGAATTAGAATGGTCAGGTTTTAAAAATACTAATGTCCTCAAATTGAAAATGGACTTTTAAAAAGATGAACCACAGAGAATAGAGGATGATGACAGGTGATTCTGGACAAAGTAATATGGCCACCTGTCGCTAATGGGCTAAGAGTAGCTATGATGTTAACCCGTGAATATCACTCAGTACTTTTTAATGAATATTCATATTGTGGGAGGAAATTTCAAGATGAGTCTAAGACCTCTTGTTACAGAAAGAAGAAATTCTTTCAAAATAAATGAAGCAGAATTAAAGACACAAGGAATTAGTTTAAAGGGCACCCCTCACTGGCTACATTGTGAAATATGGATGCTAAAAAGCCAAGACTGCATAATGATATGCAAAAAAGGGAAAATTAACATAAATTGATTTTTTTCTAAATAAAAAAAGTGTTGGTATTAATTTTGTTGCTTTGTATGTATTTATTATAGTGATAAATAATATAAGTAAATATATTAATTTTGTTTAAATGTAAATTGAGTCCATCCATGAGGAAGTCATGCTTAGAATGACTTCAAAGCAGTAACAAAAGAGCCAGATAGAAGTAAATGATGATGTAAATCAACTATACTTCAATTATAAAAAAATTTGAACATCACCTTACAATTGATGATATTTAAAAAGAAGCATATGATCAATTTAAGATCCTTTAAAATAACGCAGAACTCCATCTGCATTATTATCATAATATATGTAAGGCAGAAAAAGATACGAAGAATGCAACTTAGAGGAGGCTGGGGACATGGTATTTCAGAATTTTATCTATTTAAATCAAAGGGTAAAAGTTAGAAGAGTCGTTTTGTTTTGGTTTGTTTTTTCAGAGAGGTAAGGCTCTCTTTTACCAAGACAACACTTATCATTAAATTAACACTGAATGATGTAGACAGGATTGGGGTGGGGCTTCTATCAACATATTAAAAAAAAAAATCCAGCATGTCCAACTGTGGTTGGGTACAATCATCCTATATATATGTAAGCCTCAAGTTCCATGTCCCAGTCTTAGGTTTCTGATCAATAAGTAACAGATCAATAAGTTATGGTCTTGAGTTTTAGACCTGGAGACCCTAATAGATCTGGGAAGGCAAATCAGCTTTAGTAAGTGACTTCCTAACCCTGAAAAGATTAAGCATGCAGCATAGAGACAACGAGATAAATCAGACTCATACTTCCATAGCTCAGAGTAATCAATGTTTGCTATTTTAGATATCTATAATTTTAAGAGAATCTAGCATATCAGGTTTTTGTCTTTGATTTTAAATTTATAATTAATCTTAAACTTATTTGAAGTTTAAGAAGAGTTAACTAATTTTTAAAATGATATTTGCACAGTTAAGAGAATTTGATTTACCACACATATATGTTTAATTTATTACATTTCCAGGATCATGTAAGGGCTTACAAAGAGCTGTTACAACTGCAGATTTGCCCCTCAGGCATGTGAAGCACTTAAAAAGAAAACTGAACGTATTCCATTTATTAACGGAAGTTAAATGTTTCAGGAAATTTAATTAACTGAACTTATAAATAAGACTGATTGTTTAAGGACATTTCCTATGTTGAGTATGAATTAAAGTGATCGTTCTTATTTTTTTAGATTTATAAACAGTATATCAAGATTTACAAGTTAAATTTGAAGGCTTACTGAAAACTAGGTTTTTATACTATAATGTTGATAATTTGGATATTAATTTCAAACCAAAGGAGCCATAAATATTCCTGTGTATAAAAACTCCCTCGAGACGTCAGAAGCCCACATGGACAGAGCACTCCTTCCCCTATCGGCCCCCTAACTCTCTCCTGTCCTCTTTGGCCCTCAAGTCACTTCCTTAGAAAGAGCTCCCCCTACCCAACACCCTCATCCAAATCACAGCCCCTTCCCTGCTGCTTTCTCCTTGTGTCCCACAGCGTTCCTTCATTACACCACAACTTACAATTACCTATTTATTTGTGAATTTGGGGTTGTTTAATGTCTATTTCCCCATGAAGCTATAAGTTCCATGAAGACAGAGACTGCTTCTCCGTATTCTATTTCTATTGCCCAGAACAGCTAACATCTGGTACACTCTAAGCCTACAATAAGAAAGATTGAACAAATAAAGTGACTGGGGGGCAGAAGTAACTATGAATGTAGCACACCTGTAATACTAAGCAAGCTGGACCAAACTATAAATGCCCTTCCTTGTTAGTTTCACAGTTCAAGGAAATAATCATTGCTAGAATGTACTGACCAGTTACTATGCACTGAATGAGACAGGCATTATTGTCCCCAGTTTTCAGATCATTCAGAGGTTTAGAGACATTAAAATAACTTTGCCCAGAGCCAAACCATTAGTCAGTGATGCTGCTGAACTTGAACCCAGATGTCTCTGATTTATAAGCCCATGCCACTCCACTTCAACACAGGGCAGTACTCTCTATACGGTCATCAGAACAATGCTCGGCATAGGGTCAGTGGTTGATGAATTTTAGTGATTTATATTGATAATTATTATATCTATATTTCAATAAACCTTTCTTTAAAGAAACAGCAATGAAACTAAAAATTAGTCTTTTCATAATTGGAGTCATCAAAGATGATGACTTTCACTTATTTATCTATTTATTTATTTATCTAGTTATTCATTTAAATGGAGGTCCTGGGGATTGAACCTAGGACCTCATGCATGCTAAGCACGTGCTCTACCACAAAGTTATACCCTACCCTTCCCTAGAAGATGACTTTTAAAGATACATAAATCCAGGCTGAGGAAATGAGATAATAATTCGAACCTCAGAGTAGTTTAATTCATGATCCAATATCTACAGTGTAAGCAACTGGTGAGAGACAAACTCTAAGCCCAGTCTAAACAGGAGAAGCAAGGAGAATTAATTCCTAGTGAAAGGAAAGAAAGCAGCATTGCTGCTTAGTAAGCATCCACTCACTAACCACCAGGCACTGTGTTAGGTTCCTTCACACAGATCTTTAATCGCTGAGAAAATCCAAACTGGGGTTATGATGGGTTTGGGGGGAGTCTTATTTTTCTGATTTTTCTTAGCAGATTTTTCAAACCAAACCTCCCCTGACCTGGCCCTGAAAGAGACCTGTTTGTGCTGGGCTGCTTCAGCTGGGGCTAGCGGTAAGACCCCCCAGGGGCTCGCCTCTGTAACTGGAGGTCGTTGTGCAACTGTTTGCTAAGGAAGTGGGTTCACCCACTCGGGGGCTTTGTTTTACTGAGTGGAGACGGGAATTTCCGAGCAGAGTTAAATGACGCAGGTCAAGAGACGGGGCATGACAAGCTGAGTGAAGAAGGAAAGAGAGGAGAGACCCTGTGGTGGAGCTAAGGGGAGTGACTTGGGAGACAGAACAGAAAGAGCACACTGGGAGGTCCGGTAAAGTTATGTAGATGTGTCATGGGTCCTGCGGTCACCTCCTTCCCCTCCAATACAGTCTACATTTTTCACTAAGGCTTTTAGAATTGGATTGTTTTAGGAGAGGGATATGTTGACTCTGGCCTGCAGGTGGGCTCAAATTAGCTGCAAGGCAGAGCAAGGTGGGGCTCAGTTTGCTCAATTTGCTCAATTTGTCTGGTTCTCGGAGAAGCAGCTGTCCTAATGCCTCAACTCGGATCACCTACCACCTCTGCTGGAACACAGGCTAACTGCAAAACAAGTATCTAAGCAGGGAGCGGGTCCTCCAGTGCTCAAACTGTGAACCTAAATTTATAAAAGACGAGGACCACTCCCAGCTCTGCCACTCCCTACTTGCACCTTAATATCTCAACCTTAGTTTCTGATCTGCAGAATGAGAGGCTAAGGAAGAGATTGCTAAGAACTCCATCTTCCAAATCGGTAAAGTGTAACAAAAATGAACTTCTAAGCAGAACTCTAGTGAACATACCAAATTTCTTCCAAACCACAGCATTAGCCTACTTCTCATCTTCAGCGATTTCCAAACATTTCAAAACATGAGCCAAAATACAGTAATCTGTCTATATATTAAGTCCGATTTCCCACTCATTTAACAAATTATGTCATTTTTAAAATAATAACTTTTCCATGTAGGACATACAGTAAAATAAGTGCAAGATGACTGGTTTCACGCTGTCACTGCTACAATTTTTAAAAAATGGCCACACAAAGCAAAACAAAAGTAATTTTAAGAAAAAGAAGTTTCTGAATCAACCATTATAAGGATCAAAGAACTCTAAAGCTAAAGTTGCCAAATGTGTTACTTTCTTTTCCTTTCACAGACCAAAACCAGCATCTATACTTACAAGCTGCCCAAATGTACTTGATTTTCATAGATCAACCATAGGACATATTTTGGAGGAAACTTACTCATATATTTCTAAATTAGTTGGTTTGTTTTCAGTCACATAGTTGCTTGGAATTAAGCCTTCATTCCTACAACAAAAGACAAAGCAAAAATCAAAACGCTTGGCGCATTTGTGGCATTATTGTGGCAACAATCCTTTTAAACACCTAAAGGACGTGGGGGGAAATCAATTCATTTGACAACTTAAATTGTTGAAAGAAGAAAAAAGCTTTTTTCATTTCAACATTCAACTAAAATCTCTGCATGAGAAATACTAAGTTTCTGAGTTACAATATGAGTAGTTCAAGATGTTTTGTGACATGAAAATCTTTGCAAAGAGGATAAAAGGCATTTGTGATCACTAGCATATCACAGTGTCTAGATTAAAAAGACATCTTATTACAAAGATATTGACTTAACTCTAATTGCTACAGAATATTCCATGAAATATTTTAGTTTAGTCACACCCCATTACAGCAATGCTATTTAAAAAATACTTGAACATGCCTTCTTGTGTACAAGCAAGAGTATTTCTCTAAGACGGATACCAAGCAGGGTAATTGCAGGTCACAGAATATGTACAGCTTTCAGTAGATATGGCAAAATTGCTATTGAAGGGAAATATATCCATTTACACACTAATTGGCAGGGGAGGGGTATCTCTTTTCCTATACCTTCATCAGTAAAATCTGAACTTTAAAATCATGAAAACATCTCCAAGACATGTTGTTGAGGAACACAAGC